CGGGCTAGCTGCAGCGTCTTGGCTGCGCATGAGGCCGAGGAGCCGAGGCCAGCCCCAGAAGTCGCTGCTGCTGGTGCAGGTCGGCTGCAGTGGAGCAACCAAGGAGAAGACTAACGTACCGTCATTCCGGGCCCTCCTTCTAGCGCCATTCTGTTGCGGTAAGTAACTTTTTAGCTGTGGCCTCGGGGCCGTCGCGGCTTGGTTTGGGTCCGGAAGACGGAGACCTCCGTGGGGGCGCTCCTCGAGCAAGCTGAATCTCCGAAGGCGGGGATCTCCGAAGGCTTCGCACCTGCACAAAGGTCGGGTCGCGGTGCTCGACCCGACCCCTCCGACGATCAAATTAACGAAAGATGTTGAGGGGGTTTAGGAGGAGGAGAAACCTTCGTGTGTTGAGTGTGTCCTCCCCTTTTTGCTTAGGACTCAGGGGTATTTATAGAGGAGGTTTGATGTTACCTGACGTAGCTGTCTGCAGGGCAGGACTATACCTTTGGTGGCGTCTGGCATTGCCACTGGGGCTGCGTGGGAGGCCGAGCTGCTGTAGGGTATGGCGAGCCTCGGGCAGTGTGTCGCTCAGGGGATGCTGTCATGGCGTGTCACATCGCCATTTTATATATATATATATATATAGAGGTTGAGATGGTCCGAAAAGATGATTATATATATATATATATATATATATAGAGGATTATTAAGTAATTTTAAAAAAAATAAATATGTAAACCCGCTTAAATAAAAGGGTGACCGTGCTATTTCTCGAAGGTAACGCAGCGTCTATGCAAGTCTATAACGCCTTCGACTGGTTCGTTCCATCGGTCGCTTGGACGCGAGAGAACCCTAACTATGTTCCGTAGCTAGCTTTTCCGCCACCTTTTCTGGTCTCGGCGACGGTTGAACCCTCGATTTGAAGGCGATGAGCGAACCCCAACCAACCGATTCCTTCGCGGGCGATCCTCCTCCGATGGCGGACCCGAGTTCCGGCGCGGTGTCGCCGGAGCCGGTGGCGGAAGCTGGTGCCACCGCGGATGTTGGATGCACGTCGAGGAAGGAGAAGCGGAAGGCTCTGAAGAAACTGAAGCGGAAGCAGACGAGAAGGGAGGCCGCGATTCGGGAGAGGGAGGAGGACGAGGCGCGGTCCAATGACCCGGAGGAGCAGCGTAAGATCCGACTGAGGGAGCAGGAGGAGGTCGAGATCGCGGAGAGGGAGCGGAAGCTGTTCGAGGAGCGGGAGAGGTTGTGGTTCGAGGCGGCCGCGGCGAGGAAGGCGGCTGAGGAAGAGGAGGAGCAGCGGCGGAAGGAGCTCATGGAGAAATCTCAAGAGAAGGTATTCATCCTGCCATCTCTAATTTGATAGTAGTTCTGGATTTCGTGTATTCCCTCTCTCCCTCAAAATCATCTTAGAAAAAGGTGCTGTTAATTTAAGAAAAATTCTAGTTGGTGTTCTCACTGCTTAGTTGAGCTTGTTGCATCGACTAATTAACCTAAAATTGGCACCATGTTTCTGGTAAATCTCTTTTGTTCGATCTTTTAAACGTACCGAACAAAACTGGCACGATCCCGTTGTTGGTTCAAGTTAGGATTTATATCAGATTGTCTATGTGAACAGAAGGGGATTTTCCATGAATCAATTCATATGAGAACGTGCTATTTGAGCCTTCGATTGCTGTGTTTATATTTGTTGTTAATGGCGTTCACTGCAATGAACTATAATTTTGCTATTCCAAGGAAAGCTAATGGTGGGTCCAAAGTCGTTTATTAAGTGTGTGGTTTGTTATTAACTTGTAGGCTTTGATAGGTTAATGGATCATTATTTGGACTTTGTAGCTTGAGAAAAGGTTTCGGTACCTGGTTGGCTGTTCAAAGATAGTTGGGGTTGGGCCCTATTTTGTTTGCCTATGCTAATCTGAATTGTACTGAGTTGAAACAATCACCAGTCCCTTTGTTATATTGTTCCAAGTAATATGACAAGTTGAAGCAATTGCCAGTCCCTATGTTAGACGATGGATTAATACCAAAGTTTATTGGATGTCTCTTGACCTTTCATAAACAGGAGAGACCGAGAGAGAGTCAGGATGTGGTAATCAAATATTTCTCAGGCCTACGTTAATGTGTCACTTTACAAACTACTAAGCCATGTGACCTTGTGGATTGATTGATGACCAATGTATCAGTTAATTTTTTAATAGCAAGCTGACCATGAACTGGATCAACGTGTGATAAACCCCATGCATTTTGAGGTAATTGACAATTGGATTTTACAAATATGTTTTTTGGATGTACTTTGTACTTCAAGTGTCAACCTTTCATGTTCCCTTCCAACTGTCTTATTTTGTTCTTCATTGTGAATTGTAATAGAATCAGCATGATGCTCATGTAAATGAGGTGGATGGAGATGATGAATGGGATTATATTGAAGAAGGTCCTGCTGAAATCATCTGGCAGGGGAATGAGATCATAGTCAAAAAGAAAAGGGTGAGAGTTGCAAAGAAAAATGCTAATAAACAGCAATCTGAAGAGGTGTAGTTCTTAACTCCATTCTTTTTGGTTGTTTGGAGAAAGAATTTGTTTACTGAACTCATGTGGTATATGTGCCTGGATATGATCTGAAAGCTTCATTAACATACAGGATGATAACAGACCAACTTCCAATCCGCTACCTCCACAGTCTGTAGCTTTTGCTTCATACATGAACGGTCCATCAATTTCTGCACAAGAAGTGCTGGAAAGGGTTGCCCAAGAAGTTCCAAATTTTGGAACAGAGCAAGTATGTCTTACTAAAAACTTTGACCTTTACTTTATTATGATATCTTATGTCTATGCTAATTTTAAGATGATTTCTGATTTTCATATGAAACATATTCATATTTTGCAGTAATTGTTAATTAACCTTTTTTCTGTTCCTTTTTAGGATAAAGCTCATTGCCCATTTCACCTCAAGACAGGAGCTTGTCGTTTTGGGCCACGCTGTAGTAGAGTTCATTTTCATCCTGATAAATCTTGCACATTGCTCATCAAAAATATGTATAATGGTCCAGGCCTTGTTTCGGAGCAGGATGAGGGGCTTGAGGTTTGTAAGATGATACTCTCTCGTGGATAATGTGGTATCCTGACTATTGCCTTTTTTATTCTGCTGCAAATTATTGTTTTTTTAGTCTTTCATGCACTTGTTGCATATATTTGTAAACATAAGTTATCATTATGAGTTGTTTATGCATCGGGAAAGCTTTGGAAGATTGGCACCTAGTTTAATTAGATGGTCTAGCTATTGTACTTTCATGCTTTGTAGAGGTCTGCCTTGTCCTTGGATGATGTCACAATTCTAACCTAGGAAAGTGATTGAAGCCAGAAGGCTGAGAAGACTGCAAGAAACATTATACACATACTATATGGAAGCTATTTCTGGATTAAGCTGCTGGAGAAGTATGTGACAAATTAAGCTGCTGGAGACATTCTTCAATGAAAATATGCTCTTATTGTAGCTCTTCTGTTTATGAAATTAACTACTGACACTTATACATTTTGCAACCTCATAAATTTAATGAATAGAACATCATTTTCCAACCCCCCGTAACCTTTGCATCATTTTGTGGTTTATGTTGAGAGCAAAACATCTCTATATTGAGAGTTCTATGCAGAAGATAGCTTAGAATTTGTTACGGCTTCTTCTTGTCCTGGTAAACTTGTCAGGAGTCATGATTACTGACAGCATGTTTGTCGGTTTTGTTTTAATAGAAACACAGAAAGGTTACTGCTTGATATGCTATAAAAATATCTTAGAGAAAGTCTTAGTAAGACTGGCACGCATTTGAAAATAGTAATGTCAATTTAAAAACTAAATTTAAGTATCCAAATCAGCTATTAAAAAATGATGTAACCTGATCCTCTTGGCAGGAGCCTTGTGCAATGGGCTTCTTTTTTTATTTTTTAACTAATTATTCTCATTACACTTACTGATATTGTCTTGGATATGGATCTACACAATGGTTTCTTGCCGGTGAAATATTGTAAGCCCTTTCTCTATAAGATCTACAACACCGATTCCATGTTCTTAACAACTATAGCATCAGATTTTATCTCAAGGAGCTCGAATGGAGACTCAAGGTTTCTCTCTTGGTTGAGGCTGGAAAGTTTGATTATTCTTCTGTATCCTATGTCGTTGAATCAGAGCTATTTTTGTTTAAGCATGTTTAATATTTTGTCAACCTTAGAAGATGAAGTGCCAATAATGCATCTTCTTTCCTTTTAATGTCTTATAATGTTTTTGTTGATTTGAGATGAGTACTTAAACAATGCACATTGTTTTATGTCTCTGATTATTTAAGCAGTTCCTTGACCTCTAGTATATATCTGGTCATCTATTTATGATCTGTTGATGCTATTCTGCGGTTGGAAGTTATTTTGAATTTCCTTGGCAGGTGATAATATATCTTGTAACTATAATGTAAGTTTTCCGTTTATCCATGATTTTGAATTCAACATATTGTCTGATTCTTAACTGAGTTGGTATGCATTCGTAACTGTCAATTGTTGCGAGGACACTTGAATTGTTGACTGTGGATTGAGAAACTGCAGTGATAAAATGTGCAAGGAAATGTAGACATAGGTAATGTCAGAATCATAAAAGAAGTAAAAAGAGTTACTTGTTGGAATCCTGAAAAACATGTCAGATTATACTTATGTAGTATCAGAAACCCAATGCAGGTCATAAGTTACATAAAATTTTTAGTAATTTTCTTGACATAAAGATGTTATATCCTTACTGTACCAGTTGGCTTTTGAAATTTTCCTTATAAAAACTACGTTAGGAAGTTTGTAATATGCATGTGTAGGAATTAATCATGTATTGAACTTGGAATTTGCAGTCATGGGCTAGGCCTAGCATGTGTTGGTCTCTTTTGTGTGACACAACGATTTTGTTGTTTAAGCTAGTTATATTTTTTTAAGATATCCAGATTCCATTCTTTATTTACTACTGGAGCAAAAAGTCAATTTCTCCTGTTGAGTTCTCTTTAGAGTGGAACATATTCTTATGTTTATCTCTTGTATCTCATTGGTATTCACCTGTATAGTTATTGGCTGATCCTCCAAGTATTTATGGAGCTTAAGTTTTGTTGTGGTCTTATCTGCTAAACCAAACTAGAAAGATGTAAAGGTTCTAGGTTTCTATCAGTCCCATGTTTGAGCTGGAATATGGAGTTTGTCGTTGTAGCAACAGAGAAAGATAATTAATTTTTTTCAAGTGTTCCTTCTGTATAACTTATGTATTCAATTAATGAATTTTGTAGAATTCAAAGATAAAGAACTGTCATGTGAATCAAAAATTGTGTTTGGATTAATTAGTTGATGCCATAAATTTAACCAGAGTCATGTATTTTATGAGCTTGGTATATTTTCGTACTCGTGTTTGGTTTTTCCAGTAAATTTTTCTATTGTATTTTAGGTGCATTTTGTTTCTTGGAAAGTAGTTACAGGATAACATCAACGTTTACTTGATTGTCTTGTAAGCGCAACTTACTCTTCTTAACCCATGCATTTATCAGTATACAGATGAAGAGGTTGAACGTTGTTATGAAGAATTTTATGAAGATGTGCATACAGAGTTCCTGAAGTTCGGTGAACTTGTAAACTTCAAGGTTGCTTGATTATCAAAACACCTCAGCCAAAAATTTTTGTTCTTTCACATCTTATAGGTAGTTGTGGAATAATTTGTGTTTTCTGTGGATTGGAAATTATTAAAGATTTTAGCAACTGAAAATTATCCAGACAGTTCTTGCCTTACCTGATCTAGGCAACCAATATAAATCATGTGCTTAGTTTTGTTGTTACTTCCTATTAGTTTGCTATGAGAAAACCTAATAAGATTCCACAGAATCATCTTTATATCTCATTCATTGTTGTGCTCCAAGGTGATTTGACTGTTTTACCACCTTTTTTTTGTGACATAGCAGACGAGCTGTTATTTCTATCATTTATCAGTCTTCTGGCAGCAGTTAAAAATTTAACTTCAAATATTTCTGGTTATCAATTGGAGATTGATATTCAATGATTTGTTTTTCTGGATTTGTAGCTTTTTGGAATGTTTAATTAGTCGTGCTTGCTTTATGAGCCTTGGTTGCTATCTGTTCCTAACTTCATTCTTACTGCTCATTCTCTTATAACATAATTTAAGCTCCAATGCTTTGGCTTTGCGTATCTGCAATTCTTGTGTTGCCAAATCATTCTGCACTTTGTGGCCATTGCATTCGTGTCTGGACCTTTGCATTCTTATTTAGTGATCAGAAACAGAGGTGGTCCTAAAAGCCAAGTGTCATTTATGGTTCCTGTTGTCTAGATGCAATATTTTGAATTGTGATAAAGTTTTTGAACGGTTTTACTGTGCTACTGCATAATCATAACTAATAATTTCCTAGTTAAGCAACATTATCATCAAGGGGAATTTGCAAAGTAACAAGTATTCTCTATTGTTCTATCTCATCATTAATTTTACTCACAAACTTGGTTGGCCTTTAAGGAAACTTCTCTAAATATTGGTTTGTGGGTTTTGTTTTCCTCATTGGTAACCCCATTGTCTATATTGGAAACTGTTCCATCTTATGTGCCTGTTCCTTAAAATAACTTCAATATTGCTTAAGAGTTAATACAATCTAATTTTACTCTTAGAATTCAGTTCTCTGTTGATTCAATCATAAGTTTTGCTCTGCATGTTCAAAAGTCACTTCATTTTTATCAACAAGGTTATGGTAGCCACAAAATTAACTTATCCCCAGATAGAAATTTGATGGTTTGTAATCTTTTTACCAACATGCCTGTTATGCTTAATTGCTTATGTTGGCCATCTGGGATGTAAATTCTGATTTTTTTTTTCAGGTGTGCAAGAATGGTTCTTACCATCTACGTGGAAATGTATATGTACACTACATGTTCCTGGACTCGGCTGTTCTTGCTTATAACAACATTAACGGTCGTTTTTTCGCTGGAAAACAGGTACCTGGACTGTCACTTGTTTTTCATCTTTCTTTATTGAAGCACTTGTGGATCTTCATCTTCTTCTTGAGATCTCAAGTTTTGTGCATGTTTTTTTTTTTCCATGATGTCCTGTGTGACAGCATATTTTTTGCTTGTAGGCCAGTGTTGAAAGTTGAAATAACTCTCCTGCCATTTACTAGTTCTTCCTGTTTTCCACTTCTCATGGTTCTAAAGTATTACTTATCTGAATCAGATAACATGTGAGTTCGTTGGTGTGACAAAGTGGAAGGTTGCTATATGTGGCGAATACATGAAATCGAAGTTAAAAGTATGGTTCTATGTTATCCCTTTTCCTTTGGTGTATGCAGAAAAAAGAAATGCTTTTCCACTTCTATATTGTATTTCTTCTTTCTCTAAGTTCTAGCTTATGACCATTAGCAGTTGAGGTAGGAAGTTGACTCATCATATTCATACTCTACATTCTTTTTATCAGACTTGTTCTCATGGGTCTGCTTGCAATTTCATTCACTGCTTCCGCAACCCTGGAGGAGATTATGAGTGGGCTGATTGGGACAACCCTCCGCCTAAGTACTGGATCAGAAAGATGATTGCTTTATTTGGTCCTTCAAATGAGTATGAGCATCACAAGCAGGTGGATTTGAAAGAATTTGATAGGCCAAGGTGTTCAGATAGGAAGAGAACACCAATAGACAAATGGTATGTTCTATTGTTCTTGTTTTGGCTTCAAAGAGAATATTCACTTGAAGTCCTTTGGTATCTCTCTATTGCTGCACATACCTTTACTATGAACTTGGTTAATAGATATTATATCCAAGATATGGTCATGACTGAACTGGTACATGCTATACTTATATATATATATTTATTTTTTCTGGTTTGGGGGGTGGTGGTGGGGTCATGAATACACATGGGTTATGGGTTGTATACTTGTATCCTTTACCGTATCTTAGAAAACTTGTGGCGGGTTAAGTTGGACCTCAAAATCGGCCCATCTTCTCATGGAATCAGGTTCATGTTGTGACTTTAACTTAGTTTTAATTTGTCTGGTCATATATGTTTGTTTCTAGTATTCTACATCCTTTAGTTTTTGGGACATTGTTTCTGGCAACAAATTTGAAGCCGAGGAAAAGGATTGAATGTGTTGTGCTGCACCCTTGAAATGTAAATTGAGAGTTCCAAGATGAGAAGCACATCTGTTTTAAGTTTTTTTTAGGAATCCAGTAATTTTATGACTCTAAATTCATGTAGAGTTTGTGCAATCCCATAAATTGTGTTGGGGTCTAAAGAAACATCAGGTAGGCTTGCTTGCTGAAATTTCCTACTTGATCAACATTTCAGATTTCCAGTTGTAAATTCATCATGCAACTCTTCTCTCTTCAAAGTTGTAATATAAGGTTTCTTTTGTCAAGTGAATTATGGCTTATAGAACCTATTAGGTGCTTTCATATTGAATGAATATCCTGTTTCACTTGTGACTGGTGTGAAGTGAGAGGAACATGATGAGTTTATTAGGTAGAAGTGGGATAGCATCAGCTGTCAGTATTTGTAATCAGATCCTTGGTTAGCAGTTGTTCATGCTTAAGGTAAAATCAGAGATTAGAAGTATGCTCATATTCTGCTTATCATTATCCACTCATAAACCAGATTCATGCATATAAAGAGATGCATGTCCTTTCCCAATTAAGCCGCTTCTATTAATGTTAAATAGAAGACTGTATACAAATACACACTGGTTAATAATTTGGAATATTGCTGTTAAATATGATCCCTTATCCATGCTTGCCATCTTTGCAAGTTCGTGATTTAACCTCTAATCGATATTTTTGTTTTGATGCAGTAGGTACTTCTCTAGAAGGTCTGACAGTGAGCTGGATGAACTCGATAATGATTCTCCTGCCAAAAACAGGAGGGAGCAATCAAGTAGGAGCAAAGAGAAGCCCGCTTCTCTGGAAAAGCATGAACGATCTGAAGAATATGATAAGTTAAACTATTATGATGACCGGGAATATAAGAGGAAACACAGGGAAGACTCATTGGGGCAAAAAAGAGTAAAGCCCTATGTCAATGAGCACATGAAATCAAAAAGGTATAAATCAAGATTTCAGGAACAACAGAAGTATGCACAATTTTCAGACTACACTGATGATGACAGAGAACTTAGCGATGGCCATTCCAATAGCCTCTCAAGTGACAAGTCCAGTCACAGGCTTAGCATTGATGAAGAACGCTACAACGGAAGAAGTTGTTCTGATGATCTTGGTTCCGATGTAGACCCTTCTCGCAGAATCACCTCACAGCACAGTGGTTGCCTCACTGAAAGTAGAGAATATGGTCGACTATCAAAGCATAAGTCCTATGACTATGAGATCGATGGTCATAGTGGTAAATTTGGAAAACCGAACGATCACCATTTGAGAGTTTCTTCTCATGATCTTGATTGGAAAGCCAGAAGTGAAGGTTCTGATCTAGAGGATGCTGATGCTCGTTTACCACATAGCAGAAGCAGGCGAGAAAAGAAACATGATAGAAGCAGTAGAAAGAGAAATCTTCACCAGGAAAAGTGCGACGACAATGATCGTAGTGATGAGCCCAGTAACAAAAAGTTGAAGAGGAAGGAAGAGAAGAGATACTCCGGTAGGTCTTCAGGCAGACAGACAGTTCGATAAGAAGTATTGATTGATAGTTATGATCCACGAGTCTTTGTTCGGTGTCAGGTTATCATTACCTTTTTTTTAAAAAAAAAATCTTTTTTAGCCTCTTCCTGCTAAAAGTTTTGAGAAGCTTTAGATGCTGGCTGGAAGTGCAATGATCTTTGGTTTCAAGGAACTATCAGTAAATGTTCATTTTGCCTTCCAACGACGAGCGGTGCTCAACTTGTGACAAGCTCCTGAAGTTTTGAGTTCTTTTACATTCATTTGTGATGTGCAATATATAAGTCCGAGCAGCTATCTGTTACCTGTGTATATACCATCTGGTTCAATTGTTTTTTCCGGTTTGATTCGATTAAAGGAATGTGATTAAAGGAATGTAATTCGAACCGGAATCGATTCTGATCTACTTAATTGAATCAATTTAAAATGTATTCATTTGATTTAGTTAATTGATTTATAATTTTAAGTAATTATATATATGTATATATATATTAAATGAATTAGTTAAATTTAATTGAATCAAATTGAAATATGATTGACATGATAAAATTTATAAAATCGAGTTCATGTCATCTGTAAAATTGGATGTTTAGGTTTGTTTGAATAATTGACTAAGAGCCCGGGATAGTTAATTCAATCGTACTGATATGTATATATATATATATATATATATATATATATATATATATATATATCTTAAATTAAAATTAATTTGATTCTTCAAGGTTGAAGGAACCATTGGTGAATCTTAGTTCGGATCGAATCGGTTTTGGATCCTCTTTATTTATTCTCTACAGAATTTTGTGGCCTTCGGAAAACATTTGATATTTAATAATTTTCTTCGAGAGCTTTTGCTTGGTAGTAGAATTGATCTGCATTTTGTTGAACTTTCCTTACAAGTCGTAATCTGCACAAAAGTTTAGAATTAATCCCCTTTGTTTATGCAGTTGCTTACACGTACTGTGTGTGATACGAATCGAAATTGTCATCTTCTAATTTACTGGATTCGTAGTTTTGTATTGCAGCTGATGGCGAGGGAGCAATTAATTCATGACGGCTGGCTTTTCGGTCTGCAGGTTGAGAGGCTATGTCGAAAGGATACGCCGAAACAGCGGTTTGTGCGTCGTCTTCTTGTGAAAACCTGAAGGATTTCCTGATGCAGGCATTGTGTGCACACAAAGCATTACCGTCCGCTAAATGCTTTGTCCCAACCGGCCTCCGCTGGTATTATTAGAAACGGCCTCGCACGCCATGGCTGGAGTTTCTATTCTGTCATGCCACGGGAGGAGGTTGGTGTGGTGCCAAACCTCTCTAGTCTATTGGCATTCCTCCTCAGCTCGGCTGTGTCTTTGCTGACCCGTTCCGTTTAGCTAAAAATATCTGAAATGGACACTTGAACGCAAAGAAACCCCTCACGCTTCCAACGTAATCTTGTGGAGCTCCCTCTGCTCCTTTGTCCACCTCCCCTGCAAATGAAGCCCTCACGCCCATAGCCTTCTCCTCTTTCTTCCTTTCTCTCCTCCTCCTCCTCCTCCTCCCCCGGTTCTTCGTTTCGCTTCTTGCTTGGCCTCTTGGAAGCCGAATTGATCTCGATTTGTTTATGGCTCGGGTTGGCAGAGCTCGATGGACGAGTTCCAGCTTGAAGTAGGTCTTCTACTGCGCAAAGAAGATAACCTGGTGAGGAGTTGTTCTTTTTGGCTACCACTTGATGGAACATATATAGAGAGAAAATAAAAGAAAATATATACATATATATGTATATGTATATATAGAGAGAGATTCTTGAGATGTTTTTGCTGTTCTTCGTGTTTAGATTATGTATATGCTTTTACTCACTTCAAATATCAGATTAAATATGAGATGATACACGAATTGCACAAACTCAACTCTCTCTCTCTCCCTCCCTCTCTCTCATCCAACGCCTGCTGCTTCTGGTTGTGACGAGGGATGCTCGGTGGCGAGTCGTACACGAAAAGCCCATCAAATGAGGAAGAGGTGTTGGAGAACGGTCGTTACCTTTTTGCCCTTTCTACAAAGAACACCTCTGAAGCTATGTGTTCACTGTGAGGAGGAATTCTTCTTCTTTTGTTCCTTCTCATTTAATCTGTTCTACGAGTAGGTTTGGTTATATGCTATCGATAGGTTTGGTTATGTGCGGTGGTATATTTCTTGGAGTTGATTTGTATTATATGCTATCGATATCTATAATCATATAAGTTAGAAATAATATTTAATGTTTTGGAATCTAAAATAATGTTTATTTCCACGCCGTTTTTGCTCGATTAATTCTTTTGAGTTCTATGTTAGCTTTGTGCTCTTTCTTCATGCTTTCATGCCGCAGTGACTGAGAAGACTTACGTGCATGGAGAAGGCAGCGCCGCGAAGCCCGGCTCCGGCCACCACCTTCGTGCGAACCGACGCGGCCACCTTCAAAGAGCTCGTGCAGCGGCTGACGGCCGGCCCCCAGATCGACGACGCCCACAAGCACCACCCTGCCCCCTCCTCCTCCTCCTCTTCCCACAAGCTGAAGACGCCGGGGCTCAAGCGGCAGCACGAGCAGCGGCGGGGAGTCCCTCGGCGCAGGTTCACCGCCCTCCGGCCTCGGCCGCTCTCCCTCCCGGCCAGCCCCGCCGCCATCTCCCCTGCCATGAGCCCCGTGGTGGCGTCTCCTTCGACCAGCTTCGCCAGGCTTCACATACGCGAGGAGGGAGGCAACAAGGTGCAGGTGGATCCGAACGAGGAGGAGGAGAAGGCTATCAAGGAGAGGAGGTTTTACTTGCACCCCTCGCCGCGGCCGCGTAACGCCGAGGCGCCGGAGTTGCTTCCTCTCTTTCCGTTGTCTTCTTCCTCCCAGCCCAGTGACCAACCCTGATTGCATGAGGCTTATTGCTGTAGCATTATTCATTGTTAATGCCCATCCAGTTCTTATACCCAACCAAGTTTCCACCTTTGTTGATATATATATATATATATATATACATATATATACATATATACATATATATATATATATATATATAACTTTTTAGAAGAAGCAAATAATAAATAATATATAAAATAATTAAAATCCTAAGATGGCAGCCACAAATTGGATATTTACGCAACTAATCCACCTCACATAAATGGTCGTACGATGGGCCAACGCGGACCGCAGACACGGGGAGATCTGTGTCCGGTGGCTCGCCAGCAGCTGGACCCCACCCGACGTCACGCCTCGTGGCCGCTGCTTCCCGGGGTCCCAACCACGAACGCCCTCAACCCTGTCTGGGACCGTACACGAGATGCTTCATCCCTCACGGGATAAACGCGCACCCGAGCATAGACTATCCCACACGCCACGGTTTCCCCACCGCCTACCTCGTCGACGTGTCGCGGTTCCAGCCGCCAGATGTATCGGCATCGACGGTCGGATTCGCCTCGCGGAAATCCTCGTTTATCCGCTCGACATCAGATCGATCAAATTCATTGGCGAGGCCTGAACCGTCCGGTTCGAAGTCTCGGGGTAGATCAGTAATAGCCTACCATTGGTTTGCAAAGCGTTTCGTACAATTGGGTACTGAGAGGCCAGCTAAGCGAACTTAATTATCCTCGCACGAAGCGGACGGCTGGGATTGGAGAAGCGGGTCTCGTGGCACTCGATAGTAAAAGTCGTTTGGTACATCATGCGGTGAGACTTGTACGAGCGACCTTTAGGGCAGGAGACATCGCTGCCGGAGAGTCCGTGTAGGGTCTCGCAGAGGCAGCACACGCACACAACACACATGAAGAAATAAAATAGAGAAATCCTATCTTTCTTCCTCAAAGCCACACATTTCTGCCGCTTCTTCTTCTTCATCTTCTTCTCGTTCTTCCGATCTTGAGCAGTTTACGGATCAGATCGGTCGGAATCTCGCGTCCTCGGTGGGTCGTGGACCGGAGTGCCGCCGGTTCGTGGGGTGAACGGGGCGGAAAGGGATCGGTTTGCGTAGGAATTTTGGATTCTTGGTTTTTGTGGGTCTTCTCTGAAAGATTGTCGCGGAATTGGGATTACTTTTCGGGGTTTAGCGGTTTTCAGGTAGGAACTTCGGCTCGAGTGCTAAAGATCGACTGATCTAGGTAGATTCCTTTGATTTCTTTGATCTGCGCCTCTCTTCAGATCGGTATTCGATTTTCTTGGTTGCCGGATTTGTTCTGGTTTCAGTCGACTTGCTTATTCTTTTTCTTTCTGTAGGATCGCGTGAATTTTGAAGGTCAGTACGAATCTTTGGTGGGATTTGATGTTCAGAACAAATAATGAAGTTGGACATTAAAGCGAGGTTTCCAAGTCCATAAATTACGGAGTTGTTCGTGTTCTTCGCTTCAGATCTGTGGTTTACAAGAGGAATTCGCACCGAAGGCGTTTTCAAGAGGGCAAGATGGCCACCTTTATTGTTCCTTACGGCCGTTAAAGATTGTATTCTATCTGTTTCTCAGGAGTTGAAGAGTGAGGGCTGCGAGGGATTGTCTCCTTTTCCACTGGAGTAAAAGCGTCAAAGCCGGGATCAGAAATAGCCTTCATATTCTATATTAGGTGTTGCACCGACCTGGAATTAGTCTAGAGTTAGGTGGGTTTTGTAGGGATTTGTAGGTGTGCTGTAGTTTGGAGTTGGAGTTAATGTTGTGATCAGCAGGCTTTAATGAGTATTTATTCTGTCTTGAAGGTCCGGAAGAAGAAGAGATCCGATCCACCTCCGTTTGTCATATACCTTGTGGTCATGGGGTAACGAAACCTGAAGCAGAGTATCTGTTTTGTTGTGATTTTGTCCCAATTTCAATCCTTTGCTTGCTTAGCTGTTGGAGTGAAGCTTCAGCTGTTCCCATATGTCGGTGGCAAATGTGAATATCTCATCAGGTTTCATTTAGTGTTTATTTTTGTTAACATATATATATATATAATTGAGTAGTGGTTTCTTTCAGTGATTGCATCTCTACTATAGAGAGCTACTGTGTTCATTTTTATGCTTGAAATATGGTGTTTTAAATGGTTCTTTCTTTACTCTTCTAGTTTTAGTTGCTTGGCTTTTGTAATACTTTTTGTACCTTGGTTGAGGAAATCTGCATTTCTGGATATTGCTCCTACAAACAAATTAAGTCCAAAGATTAAAAAGATTTCTAATCTATGTTTGCCCTTTCCTCACAACCATACTCTTTCTATTTTTGTCCTGTTTTGTTTTCACATTAGATTCTGCTAATTTGATGTGCGCTGAATGTGGTATTTCGTTTGGTTCACTTTTTATTCTTTATTATGTTACTTTGATGGGCTTCGCATCTAATTTTAATGTTGCTTTGCTTATTGTTTTTTGGGGGTTTTTCCTCCTCCTCAGTATTGTTTCTTCAAGATGTTCAATGTCCTTAATAGCCTTAGATTCTGGCTTGTCCAATCGTATGTTGCAGATTCATAAAACAATAATCTCTTCTAAACTGCTAGTCCTTCAAACTTGTTTTCTCATATACGGCAAGATTCTTCTTGGTCGTCTTTCTATTGAGGGTTTGTTTTCAATTTGCTTGGTTCTTGGGGCTGCTGTAATTCTTCTTGGTTCTTGGGACTTATATGTTATATCTTCTTTCCCAGGGACTTCTGGTGATGTCTTGTACAAGGAACTATGGCATGCTTGTGCTGGACCCTTGGTTACCTTACCTCGTGAAAATGAACGTGTGTATTACTTTCCCCAAGGTCACATGGAACAGGTGCAAGAAGCTTTTGATTGTCTTCTGTTTACTTGGTTTGAGAGTTTTGCATTAGTTGCTACCAGTGATGCAGCCTTTTAGGAAAGTGTAGTTGATCACCAGTTCCATCTTGTTTCCATTATCCTGATTGTGGAAGGGCTTTAATGATAAAACAACATTAGATACATAATCGTCTCTGCCTTAGTTTTCTTTTTTCAATGTTATAGCTGGAGGCATCAACAAATCAGGGACTTGACCAGCATGTGCCTGTGTTCAATCTACCATCAAAGATCCTGTGCAGGGTGGTAAATGTTGAACTTCGAGTAAGTGCTATAAAGTTCAAGTTTATTTTCTACCTGTAACATTCTTTTTGATGTATGTCCCTGTAATAAAAGGGAATAATGCTATTTTCATTCGTGTAATGTCATGATGCAGGCAGAACCAGATACAGACGAAGTTTATGCACACATTATACTGTTACCTGAACCAAATGTGAGTTTTTTTTAATTGAGTTTATATAGTTGTCTGTGATATCAAGTTATTCAGGAAATGTGTGATGCATGTTTTGAGGTGCTCTCCTTCTACAGAGAAAGATGTTTTTGAAGTTACCATCGAAGCTTCAGTTTCTTTTTGTGGTCTGTCATAAGCTATTGTGTATTCCTGTTAATGCTCTTCCTCCATCTGTTTACCACAAAGTTGGTTTTCTGATTCTAATGATTCTACAAACAAGATTATGTATCCTGATAGTTTTTTTTCTTTCAAATGATTAGTCTTTTGATACTGATGTCACTATACTTTGGATTATTTCTTTGTTATTTATACTATCATTTCTTTTCTTGCTATCTATAAATTAGCGAGGTGAGGTCACTAGTCCGGATCCTCCTTTTTCTGAGCCTGAAAGGTGCAAAGTCTACTCCTTCTGTAAGACTTTAACTGCCTCGGACACAAGCACTCATGGAGGTTTTTCAGTTCTGAGGAGACATGCAGATGAATGTCTTCCTCCATTGGTTAGTTGATATTACGTGTTACTTATATGCTCATTCATCAATCTGAACAGGCTATGATTCTTAACTGTCCCACAAATGAATTTGATTAGTTCTTATTTTTTTGTATATTTCAACTTTCTTGCTAAATTCTTTCATCCTTGTGTAGGACATGACACAGGATCCACCTTGCCAAGAACTAGTTGCCAAAGATCTTCATCGCAACGAGTGGCGGTTCCGCCACATTTTTCGAGGTTTATATTTTATTTTTCAAATTGTTAATCGTATAAAATATACTTCATTTTTCTTTCTTACTCAATGCTGTTATTGCACCTTTCGAGCTTTCCCAAATATTTGGTTTCCCACTTAGGGACTAGGAGTTGATTTCACGTGGGCCAGAGAATTTCTTTAACAGCTAGACAAGAATGTTAGATATCTTCTGTTGTGGATGACCCCATACTGTTTTAAAAAAAGTTTTCCGAGTCAGAAAGTGAATATAATTTGCAACAGACACATGTATTTTGCAGGAAAGACTCTCTGATAATGCGTGTTTTTTATAATTTGTAACTGATATGGGTCAATGTGTAGTTTTCACTTCTGCAAGGCATGACAATTTTCAAGAAAGCCGTGAGGTGCCAAAAGTGTTTTTCTCATTAAGCTCCAGAGTTGGAAAATTGCAATCCTTTATGATACTTGCCAAATATTGTCATCATTTACAATTGAAGTAGCGATCACGTAGTGCTTAAACTATGGAATTAAGATAATAATGCTTTGACTTTCATTTTCTTTTCTTCCAGGTCAACCTAGGCGTCACCTGCTTACAACAGGTTGGAGTGTATTTGTCAGCTCAAAGCGATTGGTAGCTGGTGATGCTTTTATATTTTTAAGGTGAGGAAATCATTAGTTTCATTGAGCAATTGAGAAGCTTGACATTTATTTGGCAAGAAATACAATTTGTTTTAACTTAGAAATTTCTATCTATATATGTTCGTGTCAGAGGGGAAAATGGTGAGCTGCGAGTTGGTGTCAGGAGGCTCATGAGGCAACTCAATAACATGCCATCATCTGTCATTTCCAGTCATAGTATGCATCTTGGAGTTCTTGCTACAGCATCCCATGCTATCACTACTGGGACTCTTTTTTCTGTTTTTTACAAACCAAGGTTACATTTTTATCCCCCTTCATTTATGGCATTTATGCTCTTAAATCTCTTTGCCTATCCTTGCACGCTACACTTGCTTTGAGGTATATGTTTTGGCAGATTAAAATGTTTTGAGGAACTTGGTGGTCCAGCTTTCCAATGCAGTGATAAAGTCTTTTTTTAACATTAATGTTCATTTAGTTCCTTTTTTAACTTGTAATGAACAATTTGCATTTTGTCATTTGGTCCACATCTTTTAGCTAGTTATTATGTCTTCTTTTGCCAGCTTATCTGAACTTAATAGATTTGCCTTAGATGTCAATTTAAATTCATTTTCTTGCGAGCACAAAATCAGAAATTGACTTATAATGAAATGTGAATACTGCAGAGCAAGTCGATCTGAGTTCATCATAAGTCTCAACAAGTATATTGAAGCCAAGAGTCACAAATTTTCTGTAGGGATGAGGTTTAAGATGAGATTTGAGGGTGATGATACTCCTGAAAGGAGGTACTTTTGATGTCTTTCTAAGCTAAATAATCAGACTTGCTAGTGACAGTGATGAGCTAGTTATCATTCTATGTTGTTGCAGATTTAGCGGTACTATTGTTGGTGCCATAGACAAGGTATCATCTCAATGGGCAGATTCAGAGTGGAGATCCTTGAAGGTAAGATTTCCTGCTATGGGGCATAGAAGCATGATGCCACTTAGAAGTTTCTGGAAGTTTTTTATCCCCCATCCATGTAATGATATGAAACCTTTTACTTTTTAGATTGTACTATGTTTTTTCTTAAATAGTAATTACTGAATTGTCTGTCTGCCAAGTAAGGGGTTTGAATTTTATGATTAGGTCCAATGGGATGAACCATCATCTACGCTGCGTCCAGACAGTGTTTCACCGTGGGAGTTGGAGCCACTGATCGCAGCTGCTCCTCCGTCCGCCCAACCAGTCCAGCGAATCAAGCGTGCACGATTACCTGCTTCACCTGTTGGAACACCAGGACCTTCTCCTACGCCTGGTATGGATTTAGCTATCTGTAACTGCGTCCAGTTCCCTTCTTTACCTGGGACTCAGGTTTCAATTTTTGGTTTTATTTTATCCTTTTTTTCTTTCTGAATTTGAGTACCTTCAATTGTTTTTGGTGATGCTATTTGACCTGTTGACCTTTGAGTAAACTAATGACCTGTCAGTCGTTTAATAAGCAGTTGAACTAATTGTGTAGAACATTCCGAGAATTAACTTCCATCTGTATGCTTTGAGAAGCGATTAGTCTTCATACAAGTACTCAGATGCTGTGAGATAAACTTGCAAAATTTTTTTTTTTCAGCTTTTGCATCAAATCTGGTATCAACTGCTTAAGGACTAAGATATTCTGAAAGATAAGGGAGCATCAGAGTGTTTCATATAACACACTTAATTGTTCATAAATGACAACAAAAAGAATGCCACACTATTCTTGTCATTAGCACTGATCGATGAAGATTTTTGTATTCGATGAATCAATAGATGAAGTAATCTGTACATGATACACATTTTTGTCCTGTAATGATGGTCAGCTACTTCTTTTAATTCCTCTCTTCAGATAATTTTTCCTAGCTGCCGTCACACTGCTGTAGTTGTTTATGTAGGTTCTTGGAAATCCCAAGTTGAGACTACCCAAATGTTCTCTTTTTCCGGGCCACAAAGAGGTGAAGAGCCATATTCATCATATAAACCAGCATGTATATTCTCATCAGCATCACAGTCTGGTTCCATTGGATTCAATGCAAGCAATGCTCCATCTACTGCTATCAACAGCCATGCTCCATCTACTGCTATCAACAGCCGCCTATGCTGGCCAATCATGACTGAAACTCAAAGTGACACCTTCTCGGCAAGCATCAATAGAGAACCGTGTGATAGAAAACAGGAAACTAGCAAAGGCTGCAGGCTATTTGGGATTCAGCTGATTGAGAGTTCTGGAATGGGAGAAATGTCACCAGTCCCGACAATTTCGGGGGTTGGGGTGGACCAACCTGCAATATCTTTGGAAGTGGATTCAGACCTACAGTCACGGCCATCAAACATTGAGAGGTCTGATGCACCTGCAGACAACAGTGAGCCGGAGAAGTTATGCTTAAGGTCATCTTGGGAGACACAAAGCAGGCAACCGAGGAGCTGCACCAAGGTTATGGATTGATGTTTCATTTTGATTTGCCTTCCGTTGATCATGATAATTTTGCATCTTAATATTGAAAGTTTACTTCTCTGGTCAGGAGAAACTCATTATTTGAATATTGGAAAATTGTTTTGCCAGAGATGCTGGCAGAAAAAAAAAAAAAATTTCTGCAGCGAAGGATGTGCTTGCTAAGATTGAAGTATGACTGAAGCCCTTCTTGTTATGCAGGTTCACATGCAAGGTATGGCAGTTGGAAGGGCAGTGGACTTGACAAGATTATGTGGATATGATGATCTTCTTTACAAGCTGGAAAACATGTTTAGTATTGAAGGAGAGCTCTCTGGTGCAGTCAAAAAGTGGGTGGTTGTCTACACAGACAATGAGGATGACATGATGTTGGTTGGTGATGACCCTTGGCTGTAAGTCTCCGAAAGATTCCCCTTTAACTATCTATTATAAATTACTAGAAATCATGTCCTGAATCCGCTTCTGAATTTTTTTTGGTGAGGTGTATGAACATCTGCCACCAAAGTGATTTGGATTTATGCACATGTTTTTGCAGTGAGTTCTGCAGCATGGTGAGGAAGATATATATTTACACAAGCGAAGAAGCCAAGAGACTTTCTCCTAAGAGGAAGCTGCCACCAGTCATTGGTGAGGTTGTCAAGTCTGGTTCAAAGAAAGCCTTATTTGATGCTGATGCCGACACGAATGCAGCCGCCGGGCTGAAAGGTCTTGGAGGCCAGGATGATGTTTCTGGTTAGGAATCACTGACGTACCTTCTCCCCATGTAGGAATGCAATTGTCCATGCTGTTTTTGGTAGCGGTTTGGCCATTAGTATGTGGCACCAATATGGGCTCTTTGATTGCCAAGGTTGCTGTTGCACCAGTTGCCATGTTGTGTCTGGTGTTCGTGATGCGGATAAATATACATCCTTATGGTTATGGTCTTTCTTTCAAGCCTGAAATGGGCTACTGCCTGATGCCGAGGAAGAAGAACAATGCAATTAGGGTAGGGGGTAACAAGCATAACACCTTATATGTTTCTTCCCTCGTTGATAAATGGATTAACCGTCTATGTTTATACAGTCGATATGTTGCTGCTTTTGTTCTATGTGGTGAAATTTGCTTGTAAAACTAGTTTGCATGTGGTGACTCCCCTTTGTTGACATGACATTTTTCAACAGCAGAATGCATGCTGAAGTTGATGCTATGGTCCAATGTGGAAGAAGTTAATAATTATACATGTACCTTAAGAATCTTTGGAGGCTAAATGTATGCAGGTACGCGAAGTCCATGAAGGGAAGGAGATGATGACAACAAACAACAAGACATTTAGTCAGATTGGGCAGGACATTTGACTGGTGATAAATCAAACATTTCGTTCAGCAAACATCATTCCAGCATGAAATCTTTTTGGGCTAACAACTCTGCTTTGGCGTAGAATTGCAGATCGAAAACAAGAGGATGTGGACTGATTCAAGTCTAATGATGCAGTCTCATCGTCGTCGTCGTCCTCATCCTCTCATCAAGACACACATTGAAAGCCTTCGCATACTACCAGCCACACGGCAAACATGGTCAAACACAGCAGCGCGTCGACCGCGGCAACAATCTTCACCTGGCGCCACCACAACCGCCGCGCCCGCTGCTGCGCCATCAGCCTGCAGCTCAAGCTCCGGCTCAGAGAAATCACACCGCCCGCCGGCCCCTGCAGCACGTCCACCTTCAACGCCCTGCTCGAAATGCCGCCGACATCCTCCGGACTCTTCTCCTCGTGCGTGTCCCCCGACAGCTGCTGCGCCTTCATGGAGGCGTTCCTGGTCTTGTCGCCTGCTCGGACTCTGATAACCCAGCTGAGCTCGTCTCCCACCTTGTCGTCCTTGGCCACCTCCCTGAAGGCGTCCCGGAGGCGCTCCAGGAACAGCAGGATCTCCGAGTTGCCGGTGTTCCCGTCGTCGTCGATGGCGAAGAATGTATACCCGTCCTGCATCAGGAAGCCGAAGGTCATGTTGTCGACGGTGTGGGAGTGCCAAGCGTGATGGTATTTCGCCTTGTCCGACCAGCTCAGAGCCAAAGCCTGGATCTCCTGGCCGCCGCCATTGTAGGAGTACAGAAGGTCCTTCTCCTTGGATACGCTGAAGAAGACGATGTTTCCGGGCGAAGAAGAAGAAGAAGAAGAATCCATCGGGAAGAGCCCACGTTCATGAGCCGGGAGTCGGCGAGGTGGCGGTGGCGGAGGTGGGATCGAGACGCTAATGGATTCATGCAACCCTTCGGAATTGGAGATGCAGGGATCGGACAGGAACGAACATCACGAGGGAGAGAGAGAGAGAGAGAGAGAGAGAGGAAAGATTACCGGTAAAAGAATTAGAAAAGGAGCGAAGAATAGAGATGTAAGGGGTGCCGTTCTTGACGGTCGGAGGTGGTCGACAGGTACAGGTTGGAGAATTGACTTGTAAAAAAAAGGAACGAACCGAAACGGGTGGAGTCAGGTCCGCACGTGCCAGCTCCAATATCCTGATGGGTCGTTGACCGAGTCAATTGCCCGCTTAATCCCCCCCGCGATGTTAGGACGTAAGTGTTCTCCGATAATTGTTTACTGATCCGATTAAAATTACTTTACTTGATATATAAAACATTTATTTCAATCCAAGCTTTTATGACTCGACTTATAATGTTTTTACGCCGTTCATCTTATCACTCCAAGATCGAGATAAAATCGTTTCGGTCGTATAAACGCCACGAGTTTCTGCTTCGACACGGGCAAGAAGTTCCAAAACCCTCCACTGCCGATCGCCGCTACTCGCTTTCTGGCGCGTTTGCTTCCACGCCGCAGCGAACCTCCTCAAGGTCGCGATCTTTGGCGGCGCCGGCCTCTGCAACGGCGAAGGTGGCCACCGCGCCATCGGCTTCAATCGCATCTACGGCATCAAGGACAAGGTCTCGAAGTCTTCCCGAATGATCTAATTAGTCGACTAATAGGGCGATCGTGTGGTTTCCTCGTTAGTTTGGTGTGGGGGGTGCCCTTTGAGGCTACCAAGTTCGATTCGGGTGTGGCGATTGTGTTTCGGGGATCTTTCCTGTTTCATCGAAGGGAGTGCTATCTGAATGCGGTTTTGATGGTTTTAGTTCTGGTTATCGTAGGTAAGGTGGAGCTTCGTCGTGCAGGTTTGTCCCGAAGGAACGCATCTGATGGTACCGTGGTTGGAGAGGCCAATCATATACGATGTTCGCGCATGGCCTCAGCTCGTGGAGAGTACTTCAGGGAGCCGTGATCTGCAAATGGTACTCCCCTGATGCCCTATGGACTCACGTTTCATTATTTCTGGGTACACTGTCTACCATTGCTAATTGTTATAAGTTGTGTTGTTTTGATAACTCATGAAGTGAGGCATTGGTTGCATATGTCCTGCAAGCAATGGAATTGTTTCGTCATTATTAGGATTGCCCAAAGTGAGGCATCGGCTCGATGGGCTCACAACCATGCTAGAGGAGATCTTCTATTTCTTACATTAGTTGTTTCTGGAGTTAAATGGCTCATAGCCTCTGTTCTCAATAGTTGGTAGCTATTGTAATGGCAAATGTTTGCATGTTGTGAAAATGATGCATGAGCAGATTCTTGAGATAGTTTTAACTTGAGAAAAAAGAGATCTGCCTTATTCTGGCTATCATTGGTTCCGTTTGAATGGCAACGGTATAATGGCAGACATTTGTTGAGCCATCTAGACCTCTTTAATTTGTTTCTTCTCAAATGTATTTTCATTCCTCACTCTGATCTATTTTTTAAGGCAACTGAAGATATTGTTTCTTCTATTACTCTTTTAAGCAATGCATCATTCAATGCTCTCATTTTTAGAAGATGAAGCGAAGGGTTCTATTTCTTACCTTTTAGCTTTGGCAAGCTATAGCTTTATTGTGAATTTGATATAATGAGTATCATGCACATGATTCCTTTTTGAGAATATTATACTCATCTTCACATCATCTTTTTATAGCTTTTACTATTGATACGTATGTATATTGTGTCAAGACAATTGGAAACTGTGGTTGTCAATTGTGAACAGTTTGAGAGTGTCCCTCTTGATCCGGAATATTTGGAAAGTCTGCCTGTTAATTTGATAGCAATATCATTTTTGTTGCTTGAATATTTGCATCAAGATGTCTTTTGATTTACAACAATTTAGTTTTTAAAATATTTTTTTCCTTTTGCTTAGGTAAAAATTGGGCTTCGTGTTCTGACATGGCCATTTGCGGACTGCTTGGCTACAATATACCTTTCTCTTGGGGAGAATTACAATGAGACAGTTTTGTCATCTATTATTCATTAGACACTGAAATCTGTGGTGGCACAATGCAATGCCAGCCAGCTGATCACACAAAGGGAGGTATGCTTGATATAGTTCGTAAGGGAATTTTTTTCAGTGTAAATAGATATGTGGATGACACTGAAGGTTAAAAAAAAATGGATGTGTTTGATCAGCATTTGCAGGCTGTCACTGTATGATGTCTCAATTGCATCCTTGAGCTTTGGTAGGGACAGAAGCAAAACAGGTGGCAGCACAGGAGGCTGAGCAGGCAAAGTTCATTGTGGAGAAGGCAGAGCAAGATAAGAAATGTGCTATCATAAGAGCACAGGTGAGATAGAGTCATAATTTACATAATTCTTTCAATGAACTAGGAATTCTTTTGTAATACTATTCTTTTTGCAGTAATTAGCATATTGCTCTGAGAAACTAAATTAATTAACACCAAGTCTCTTATGGCTTTAGTTGTTTACTCATAACAACCTGTAGGTGAGATTGGTCACATGCCCCTAAATTGTAGTTCTCTATCAATCAACTAACATATTGCAATATTGCTTGTATGATTCTACATCTTTTCTGGCTAAAGAGCAACCTGTAGATGAGATGGTCAGGGGCCCCTAGATTGTATATTTATTTCAATGAATTGGGTAAGGACAACAGATTGCTGGTATGATTCTACATCTTTTCTGATTAAAGAGTAACCTGTACATGAGATGGTCACATGCTACTAAATTGCAGTTGTTTCTCAATAAATTGTTATCCCTTCTCATGCTAAGTTGTGGTAGGTAAAATCCATATCCTAGTTTCAACATTGTGAATGATGTATTCACAAATGCACGAACCTTATCTTCAAATTCTGTCAACAAAATTACAAAAGATGGTTAAGAAATCTGGCCTTGTATTCTGTAGAAGCCTTTTTTTTTTGCAATGAGTTCTGACTTGATTAATACATTTTCAAATTGATTGACTTTCTTATACATTTTTAGAATAACACCTTTAATTTTCTTAGACATTTGATAACCCCCATCATGTTTAATGTATGTAGTTGCATCAAGTGCAGTGAACATATTATGACTACCAGTTACCCCATTTGTGGAACTGGTCTGGTGCTTGTCTAATCCTTCTTGAGAAATCAACTGCTAATTGTGTCTTTATCATCGATTATCAGGGTGCTCAGCTTATAGGTCAGGCAATCGCAAAGAACCCTGCATTTCTAGCTTTAAGACGGATTGAAGCTGCTACGGAAGTGGCACAGAAAATTGCCTACTCTGCAAACCTAGCGATGCTAAGTCTGATGAGCTGCTGCTGAACCTCCATGACTTGGACATCAAAATCGGTACCAGATCAAGTAAATGAGTGTGCGTTTCTTTTGCTTTAAGGTTTACTGAGTTTGGTTGTCCATGCTTAAGCAATAAACTCCTGCAGGAGACAACGATCAAAGTAGAGATGCAGTAGTTAAATTCTGTTCGTGTAGTTCGATGGCTGCAATCCGCTTTATTCCATTGTGCTTGTTTCTATTGGAAATGACCTTCGATTACTCAATTGTAGGTTGTCAAAGTCCGTGATGACAGAACAAACCTAAGTAGAGAAGGGAGCACCAGTGCCAGAACCTATTACTTCCTCGGTGGAGACTACAGCTAAGTATAACCAACCAAGCCTCATTGTTTCCCTTAGATTATTACAAGTAATACTTAGTGCTAAGTATATCTGTTTATCTACATGTACCTGTTACGACTATTACAATTTTCTTCTGCAAGTGAAAAAGGAAATCATGGACTTAATCAACCGACAAATATTACCCTGCAAAAACACAGACAAACTAAGTCAGTTTGTGCCACAGCTGATAACAAATATTTTATCAAATCCCAAGCTGTTTTTTGCCATGTCTAACATAAGTCAAATCTTCCTGTCATAAGCCTCGGACCATAAACGATTTATTACAGTAAATGATCATCCTTTCCTACTTGATCTATCACAGTTCGCACCATAAACGATTTACTATACTAAATGATCATTTTACTAAAGCCTGAGCCATTTATTGTCGATGCTAACATAAAAGCCAAACTTCACCTGTCAAAAACCCTCCAACCTCTCCATTATTCTCTACCAGATTTATTACATTAGTACCATAAAAGGGGGGTTTTTTTTGGTGCTTTATATTGGTACCAATGCAAATAAACATAAGCAAATCTACTTCTCAAGTAGATCCAAAAGTTTAAATATGTATGCTGGGGATGCTGCTGCCAATGTAAGCAGTTCTCATTCTTCTTTGGGAAGAAGCCAAACAGTTCTCAAAGTTCAAATAGAGAAAAGAAACTGCAAGCAGTAAGCTGCCACGGGAAGTTTGTAAATGGCATGGTATATATATTACACACACAGAGAGACAGAGAGAGAGCAACAGTAAATTTGAAATCTCCTACCCATCCATCAGGGCAAGAATCTGCCATGTCAATTTCTTGCCTGTGAATGATTTGAATGTCCTCTGGTGCTGGATGGCACCCACATGAGATCACAAGATTTTCTAGACTTTCCAGTCACATTCATTTCATTTACTGTTGCTTCCAATTTTTCCTGCATCAAAAAATCGCAATAGGTTAGCTTCTTACTTCAAGTCTGGCGAAACCTTTTTCCATGCAATCAAAAAATGAGAACCACAAGGGATATGGGGGATGAAAATTTACCACAACTGTCATCATAGAATTCAAAATCTACATCCATCACAGCAGGCCGCCTTCTCCTTGTGGCCTGGAGTGATTTCTCTCTCTGTTCATAGAACCCGAAATCATCCAGTAGTGATGTTCCCAGAGGGTGGCCCTTGAATATGTGCAGCATTTGTAAACCTTGTGGCAGCCCTATCTACAACGGCTAAGTGCAGATGTAAACAAAAAATGTATATAATAATAACAGGTCAAGTTAAACGACTATTTTTTTTGCTTGCAAAAGAATCACAAAAGCCTTTGCAAAGCATATCAATAATCAATAAAGACATAAGATCTCCTGGAAGTCAGAAAAAATAAATTGCTCGTCGGTCAACCATTTGAAGTCCCATCTTGACAAGGGAGATTTAAAACGCCCTGGCATTCGACAGTAGTAGAAAGAGTAACTGATCACTAGTGATTTACTATCACACAGTATTTGTTTATAGTCTATGCTTATGCAGGAACAAAGTCCTCTAGAGAGTAAATTTGAATTAAAAGATTCCCTTGCAGATTGCTGAATCTTTGGATCTCACATGCACATGACAATTCTCTTTCTATATCTTTATTTTTTTGATCAACCATCTCAAAAACCACAGTAAATTGTTGCCCAAGCAACACTTGCATGATAGGAAATCTCTCTAACGGGCAAACGAAAAAAGAAGAAGAAGAAGAAGAAGAAGAAGAAGAAGAAGAAGAAAATGTAACCATTTCAAGGTCTGTACTTAATGTATTCTAGATTAGTTGTTTCTTCTATCAATTTACAGATTCTGAAAGGTTTTTGAAACATAGAGATTGTGGACTTCAATCTATAAGGTTACCAATGCAAGATAAAGAGAATGATACCTCCTGAGTATCCTTACTAAATGTTACAGCCTTGTTGTCATTGTTCTCAAGCCTAATACTTTGAAAAAGTCTGTTGGGTATGTCCTTTATGATGTGCCACTTCACTGGGAAAAACCCATTCCAGGTCTCTTTTTGCCAGAAATCAAGGTTCTTGTTGAAATCAACAGGTCCAATCATTTCAGCCAAACCAACAAACTGACCACTGGCATTAACCTGAAATCAAAAAGAGAATTTTAAAATTCAGTAATGACCATAAAAACCATAAACTATAACTTCTCAATGGAGAAATTCTGACGGGTAATGTCCATTGTGATTTATACAGCTCTAGATAATCAGAAAAGAGGAGTAGATTAAGTCTGGCTTCTGAAATTTACATCAACATTGAATTAACAAGAAAAGCAAAATTAACAAATTTAAGACACAAAAAATAAATACATCATGAACAACCTTCGCAGTGGCACTTGTAATGTAATCTATCAATCAGCAAATTGATTAAAATCGTTCTTCTATGGCAGGGTTAAACAACAAGAAGGCCTAAAGTAGAATTCATGTGAAGAAACTGAGGAACTAATATGTAATTGCTATAGGATCCAGATATTGAGTTTATAAAACACTAAACGAATCCAATAAGCATAAGATAAAACAACATTACGCACTGAGAAAAATAGGAAAATTGGACACTTTGAGCCCTTCTTCATTAATCTCTCTGCATCCCAGAATACAGCATCCAGCTTTTTATTACCATTGGGAGTACTTGCCCATACATTGTATTTGACACTTTTGTGGACATCATCTTCATTGTATGACTTTATCATGAAGAACTTGGCATTTTCATATTCAATCTGAAAATCTGTTTTGTTATATTTATCTCTGCGAACAAACTGGTTCAAATTGTTGTTTCTGGTTGATGAGCCCAAACAACTATTCGATTTGTTTGCCCGGGGACCATGAACTAGCTCTCTTGAAACTTCGAAAGTTTTGTGTGAGCTATATTTCTTATTCACTCCAAAATGGTTATGACCATGAACAGCCTGGGCGGTCCTTCGCAGATTCATGTGATTATCTCTATAGAAAAACCCATCCTGTCTTTCATTAGAGAGTGAAGGTATTATCCGACCACGACCATGGGAGAAACCTTGAGCAGCTTCAACTGCTTGTAAACTAGAACTCAGATTTGGAGCCTGAGACAATCATGAGAAGAAAACAAATCAACTGCCTGAGATAAAGTGAAGAGCTGTATAAAATGGGCAAAGGGAAGATACAAAAGACTTAAATATCAAATTAAAATAAATCATCTTAATTTGATCAAACTGCACGACTGCAGTTAAAAGTACAACAGTCAATATCTTTTTCAGCTAAACTAGTGATGATTATCTGCCTGATGATACATCAATTTTACATGAGACAGATGCAAACTGCATACCAAAACACAGGGATGTCATACAATTCTTCTCTTAATATCAATAAGGAAAACTTAAAATAGGTAAATAATCACCCACCAAACTTTTGGCTGCTTGCAAGCAATAAATTCCTACTCAAGGTTAAGCCATGTCAAATTGTGACCTTAAACCAATTTAGGTTGTAGGAAATGAGGAAAAGCTAGTTTGCACCTTGTTAAAGTGCTTGGTATCTTCACCAGGAAAGTCAAATGACGAGGGAGCAGAGGGAGCAACTTTTGGTTTTGGATTCAATGTCCTTGCAGAATCTTCTAAATCAACTCTGGCTTTTCTCATTGTAATTTTCAAACCTCTAGAATCCAATCAAGACTCTGAACCAGCAGTATGGGCATTTGTCCTTTTACCAGAGGATTCTGCTGTACTTTATGAGTCTACAATTGCAAGGTCTGATACCCATGAGCACCTAGGCATTATTTCTGCCCTATCGGAGACTTTCCACTGAAGGTGATCCATTGAAGACACCATTAGTTGCCCATATTTAGTTGATTGAAGCAGAAGTTGGTCAATTGCAGATTCATAAAGTTTTGCTTATTAGGATCTACTGGAACAAAGATATACCTAGCATTAACTTCTTTTTGTGTTCAATATGGAACTTCATCGAACTACCAAACTAGGGACTGTAGAAATTGATGGAAGAAAAGAACGAGCAAGCACCATAGACAACAACAAGGAATCTAATCATCACTTACAACACGTTCTTCATCCAGATCAAAAGCGGAATCTGCCTTTGGATCCATCACGAATGCTTCAGACACTACAGAGTTAAAAAGTAAGATCAAAGTTGATTCGGCTTATAGATGAAGATCATCATGAGGTATAACACTTGAACTAAACTGACTAGAATCTCCAAAGCATATACAAGCTAGAGACTAAGGAAATTGGTTGTGAATGAAAATTTTGTATCCTCTAGCAGCAAAAGGACCACAAAATCAAACACAATTGTTAGTGTGTTACCATATTACATCCTGTAGAACTATATTTCGTATGAACTTGTAGGAGATAAAGACAAATGCAGAAATTGTAATTGAGTTTTATTTCTTGAATTTATGAGAAAAGATAGAACTATCAACCATCCTCTGACTTGCTTAGATAGTAACAGATTCTCTCAGCTTACTATAACATTGAAGATTACATCACATGCCAATTCTTTGTTACTTTTAACCTATCCAAGTTTTCTTTTAAGTGCTTTGATCTGGTGCACTAATTGCAATGCTCAAGCACTCATCTCAAAGTAACATCCAACAGCACCCCCAAAGCTTTCTTGAATACCACCAAGTGTTGACCCCTGCTGCTACATCCTCCATACCAATTGCAAAATACTAATTTTAGAATTTTGACTTTTCACCATGATATGCTTCCTTGTCCACTTATGAAGCTTCAATGTCAAGGAAGCCTGTAGCCCACCAATATTCACTTTGTGGCAATAGTTGACTATGCCACAAACAATATCTCACAACCTTACACATTCCTTTGATGTACTAATCCCAAAAGCTGTATAGCCTTTTCTTGATCATACCCACTTCTATTACCCTTATCCAATATTAATAGAATAAGACAGACAAATAAAAGAAGAAACATTAGAAGGGTAGCCCCAGTGATTAGGTTGATCTACCCTACCATGCATTGGTAATCCATATCTGACCTTGCAGAGTTGAAATGCTTCTAGCACTTGAGATGAACAATGTGGATTAAACATGGCATGGTGATGGCAATGAGACAATTTTGTTAGAAGAAATATAATCCATACCCTACTCGAACGCAATGTAGATATAATCAAAATGTTGAACGCAATAACTACATCAACTTGATGACATTGATCATGCAGACAAGGATCGACGACCTCCCTAAGCGCAGTGCGAAGAAATGGCACCCAAGATAAGGCAAGAGAAAAGGTGAGAAGGGATCACGAGAGACGCCGGGGAGAGAGACGCAATGCCGCTGAGGGATTCCGACTCGAAGAAAGATCGGAGTAGGGCTTCTTTTCGGTGGAAGGAGGGCCGGAATCGAAGGGAAAAATGTCGACTGAGTACAAAGGAGATTAATATCCGGTTCGGCCTCCATCCGCTTTTGATCCGACCCGATCCGATCAGATCATGGGTGTGCAGCATCTGATGTTAGATTGAAGGATCCGATTGGAAATGATTCATCCGGAGGCTACACCGAGGCGGATCGGATCGGCTCGGCGTGCTCTAACCCGTTAACGGCCATTTTCGGGGTTACTTTTAAGGGATTTTGGGATAATGTTGGAGCTTTTAGATTCGTGCGATTCGCGAAGATTTAGGGCATCAAAGATGCAAATCAACCCTTCATTTTACACATCAAGCTTCATGGCAGTCGCCGCCGTCGCCACCGCTTCTCCGTCTTCTCTGGTACTCATCATTTCCACGTCTCAGCTTTGTAGCGTAATCAAGCCTTCGATCATGATCTGCTCTACCGTACTTCCTCCAGATTTACACGCGGCCTTCGTCGAGATCGGGCGGGCGGATCCCTGGGAGCGCACGGAGGACGACCGCACTGGTGATGGCGGCGGGAAACGGCGGCGGGAGGACGATGCCTCACGTGCTCACCGTCGCTGGGTCCGATTCTGGCGCCGGAGCCGGGATCCAGGCAGACATCAAGGCCTGCGGGGCCCTCGGCGCATACTGCTCCTCCGTCATCACGGCCGTCACCGCGCAGAATACCGTCGGGGTTCAGGTCTGAGATCTCTTGGCCTCTTTCTGCTTTTACGACGAGTAGGCGTCAGGCCTTTGGGGATTGATTTGGATGTGTGGCAGGGTGTCCATCCCGTGCCGGAGGCGTTCGTGGCGGAGCAGCTGAGATCGGTGCTTTCCGATATGGCGGTCGATGTGGTATGATACTGAGATAACTTTAACTATGTCAAGTTATGCATATCAAACGGTGAACACTTGTGGTGATGCGTGTTTCTTCTTTGTTGCGTGGTTTGAAATGCCATGTTATGTGGTAACAAATGTTGCCACTATAATATGATTGTATTCTTTTCCCACCATACGACTGAATACATAAAAATATATTTCTCTAATGTCTATGATTCCATCTAATTGTTATGACACGTTTCTCTAATATGTTGAAGTTTCTTTATTCTTTCTTTATATTTTTTCCTGAAATGTACATCCTAAGCTTTGTAATTTGCACATTGGAGATGTGTGATGTCAAAGTCTAGTTATTGTTCACTCAAGCAAACGGTTGATATTTGGCATAGGCATCTAACTTTGTCTGAATAAGTGCTCTGATATGAGGTATATGTGGGAAATAAATGTGGTAATGCAGATAGGAAGCATTTAAATCTGTCACGTTGGTGTTGTTATGAATATGTGCTCTGATATGAGTTGCTTGTGGCATTGGTGTTGTTACTCCATTCTGTGCATACAAAGATCTAGTCTGGTTGATATAACTTTGATGATGTAAGTAAATAGATTAGGTGTGATGGCTTCTCCATATTCTAAATCTAATTATATATTCACCATGGTTACCTCAAGCATATTTGATTCTTGGATAACATGTTACCTGCCAATTTTTGTTCATTCCATTTGATCACCTTCACTCTGTTTTTGTGGTTAATTTCTGTCTGTTGATATGCTGTAGTGCTTTCTTTGTTTGTTAGTTTTGTTTTCTTTTGTTTGGATGTTCTGTTCCCAGATTGCTAAATTGTCAGTAGTTTGAGTTGAAATTATTCAAACCCTTTCTCCCCTAATGTATTTAGCGCTATTAGCTCTCTGTTTCTGTCTCTTTTCTGGTTTGCTTTCCTTTCAATACAATTTTTTGTTTCAACCTGACAGGTAAAGACGGGGATGCTTCCTTCTGTAGGCATAATAAAAGTTCTATGCCGTAGTCTTCAGGAGTTCCCTGTTAAAGGTAATGGCTTAAGGACAAATGAACTTGCATGATAATTTATTAGTACCTTAGTTGATATTGTTGTAATTTGGAAGGCAGCTTTAGTTGTGGATCCAGTCATGGTTTCTACAAGCGGCGACATGCTTGCTGGGCCATCAACACTTTCAGGATATCGGTATAGGCCATATGATATTAGATGAATTGTTGGTTGATCTGAACCTTCACGAGTCACACGAATGAGTTAAATGCACTTATTTTGAAGGTGCACATGAAATATGTAGTTCTGTATTTCAGGGATGAACTTTTTGCGATGGCTGATATTGTCACTCCAAATCTCAAAGAAGCATCAGCTTTACTTGGAGGCATGTCATTGAGAACAGTATCTGACATGTGTTCTGCAGCAAAATCTATACATAACTTAGGTCCCAGGTAAGTTTCTGCATTCATTTTGAAGTTGTGTATGTTCTAAATTGTTCAGCGTTCTTCATTCTCATGCTAGTATACATTGTTTCTTTATCACCCACTTCAGTCACCTTATCCTTTGACCTCTCATATATGCACTCATCGTGTCGGTGTTTCATGGATAGTTTTGGTAAAATGATAATAGGTCATTCATGATATTTTTACTTCACTATATGTTTCTATGGTATTTTCAGTTTGTCACCCATGCTTCTTGTTTTGCAAACTCTATAATCGTAGGTTAAATATGTGTTATTTCTTACTTCTTTATCCAATGATCCTATGAGTTGTCTTTAATCTAGAGCATTGTATGATGCTAGAAAATGTAGGACTTGATGCTATCAGTAGTTTCCTTGATCTTTGTTGTGTTCTTGAGTTTATCTGTTCTGTGCAAGTCTTCTCCCATCAGATGGATCTATTAATAAGTTGCTTGAAGTTTGTCGAAACCAGATTATGAAAATTTCTATTGATGTTTTCCAAATATCAGAGACATGATCATGCCAAGATGTATTTTTCCTCAGTTTCATGTTGTGACCGTAATATTCTGGTATCCTGACATGATTGTCCTTTTGATGTTAGACCAAGAAAACGAGATGCTATGAATGATCAAAGCTTCTATTTCGATTCCTTTGAGAATTATATTGATGAGGTATCATTTGCAGGAATGTACTTGTGAAAGGTGGCCATCTCCCAGGTTCATCAGAAGCCACTGATGTATTTTTTGATGGTATGCCTCTACCTCTTGACAGCCATATCGGCTCATCCGTAAGCCTTTTTGCTTAGTTATTGAACTGAATTGGGATTTTCTGCTTGTAGGAGAAAATTATCATGTGATACGCGGATCACACGTAAACACCCGTAACACCCATGGCACTGGATGCACTCTTGCTTCATGCATAGCAGCAGAACTCGCCAAAGGTTCCCCGATGCTGCAAGCTGTTCAGGTGATCCTCTTGTGCATATAAACTGTAAATTCAATTACACAAGCTTATGAACTTCAAGTTGCCTGTTAATTTTTGCAGAGGGCCAAGACGTTTGTCGAGAGTGCTCTTGACTACAGCAAAGATATCTTAATTGGAAACGGACCTCAAGGCCCCTTGGACCACTTATTTGATCTCAACACTCATGCCCATACTGCAGGAGCGAGATCATTTGATGCTAAAGATCTTTTCTTGTACGCAGTTACGGATTCTGGGATGAACAGGAAGTGGGGTCGTTCCATTGTGGATGCCGTGAAAGCATCCATCGAAGGAGGTGCCACCATTGTTCAGTTGAGGTATGAAACATGCGAATTCCTTCAGTTCTTAGTTCTGCTGAGGTTTCGATTCTTCTTATTCTCCTCATGCTATCAGAGACAAGGAGGCTGAGACCCGTGACTTCATCGAAGCAGCAAACGCTTGCTTGGAAATATGCCGATCCAACGGAGTGCCGCTGCTGATCAATGACCGAGTTGATGTTGCACTCGCTTGTGATGCCGATGGCGTGCATGTAGGGCAATCTGATATGCCAGCTCGAGTTGCTCGTAGCATTTTAGGGCCTCAAAAGATCATCGGCGTCTCATGTAAGACCGCAGCACAAGCAGCGCAGGCATGGGCGGATGGCGCGGATTACATCGGCTGTGGGGGTGTTTTCCCGACTACTACAAAGGCCAACAATCTCACGGTGGGTTTGGATGGCTTGAAGGCGGTTTGTCTGGCTTCCAAAGTGCCTGTGGTCGCCATTGGTGGTATCAGCGCTGCAAATGCTGGCTCAGTGTTGGAGATTAGCGTCCCGAGCCTGAAAGGTGTTGCCGTCGTCTCTGCTCTATTTGATCGCGAGTGTATTGGTACTGAAGCCCGTCGGCTCAAGTCAATCCTGATGGACACATCCTCCCACGCTAAATTATCGGTTTGATGTTTGGGTATAGTTTCTTTCCAGGATTCAACTGGAATGTGAATAAGTCCTGACATTATAGCAGTTGATGTATCGATCGATCAAGAGGGTAAATGACTGCTTCCGAAGTTGTGTGTCTCTGATTCTTTTGCAGGCAGTGATTTCTCCGATGTATTTGGCTGTGAAGACGTCCGCATTCTTGTGAAGAGGCTTACTACATCTTCCGGTCAACAGACGTCCGCATGAGCAAAAGCAGCATATAGAAATGCGGCATCTACAGGGCACACGAGGAGCCAGTTCGGTCGGCAGCATGGTTGGGCTTGTTAGAGCCCTCGTCATCTGATCTTTGTTCTACCCCCACAAAGAAAAAGAGGAAGGGAAAGAATGATCGGAGAAAAGACAGAGGCATTACGCTTAGATCTAACACAAAAGAGACAAGTCCGGCGATCAGATGAGAAGACAAAACCAACCTCGCCAACCACAACCGAGAGACTGACAAGAAAAGAATCACAGATCGGGAAGACTCAGAGAGAAAAATGGGTACAAGACTTTGTCGTCAGCACATTCGAGGAGAATTCCTCATCAGCGTGGTGCATGACTGTCGTCTTCATCATCGCCACAGCCCGATCCAGAGAGAAGATAAAGACCAAGAACAAAAACCGTAGAGAAGGGGATCAACGGAGACGACGCAGACGCCGGACGGCGATGCGATGGCCGCCAACCGCGTCTATATAGAGACGAAAGGTGCCCCTCGACAAACCCTAACTCTAACGATGCTCCGACTCAAAAAAAAGCATCCTTGTTTGTTGTCGGCCCATCTTTGGCCCATCAGGCTATTCTCTCTGTGGACAAGAGGCCTGAGAGGACTCTCCTGCTCGCAAGGATGTCGGTGAGTCTACTTGATCGCTGTGGTCCAATCACACAGGCTTCATATATACCCCAAGACATGAAGAGCAGAGGACAACGCTGTGGATGCTGTGCTTAGTAGAGAAGCCTCTCAAAAGAGGGTGTGGCAAAGACCTTTACCGAAAGCCACAGCCAAAACCATATTCCTTCAATCATAGCTACAACCAGTAAAGCTTCAAGGTCCTGTCTCTCATATGGATGGTAATTGCTAGGAGACGAGCAACAACCTTCACCACTTCCTCTTCATATAATAAGGTACGGTAGTCACACCACAAGTTCATGACAGCATGACTGGATATCAATTGGGGTTTTCTAATCCCTAAATACCACAGTAGTACAACTTATGATGCTTATATCATTGATATGCTATGAGTCGGTACGAGTGTTTGACAAAATGCGTGTATCAACCAAGCTGGGAGATGATGTCGAAGGCAGTGCCACACAGGCGCTGCAGCTCATCCTCTCTTTTGGCCATCGCCGCCGGGAACGCCATGCCGGGGTTCCTCCGGAAGAAGAGCCTGCCGCATGTGCTGGCGTACTCCTGGGCCGCGCCGATGTGCACGCAGGCGTAGTCGTAGTTCTCCTGCGCCAGCGAGCCGAGCGCCCACCGCAGCGCCTCGCCGGCGTTCTTGTACTTCTCCGCGCAGGTCCCGAACGCCGACCGGGACGCCGCCGCCTCGGTAGCGTTCTTGGCGAGGCTGGCCGCGTACGCCGCTGTGGTCTTCGCCTTGGCGACGGCGATCCGGAGAGCGATGGCGGATAGGGACTTGACGTCCTTGGCTCTCAGGCTGCGAGGGTCGGATCGGAGCGCGGCGACGCAGAAGTCGTAGTTGGACGTCAGGCTGCATGTGGTTTGGATTAACGTGGAGGAAGGTGGAGGTGGTGGGGAGGCAAGCGAGGGTGTGAGGAGAAGCAAGAAGAAGAAGAAGAAGGAGGGAGAGGAAGCCATGGCAGTGGTGCTTGGGCAAAGGAGGCTGTGTAAGGAAGGAGCTTTACATGGCACCACTACTTTATATGTTGGATTTCGTGCTCCACTAAAAGCAATTAGTGTTGGGGGAGAGCAGCTCCGTTGTCCTTTGCGAGAATGTTACAGCGAACGCGCCATGCTGCACAACCTTTTGGAAGAATCAATCGGTGCAGTGCAATTACCGAGTCCAAATCATTGGTACAGCCTCACACCGTGACACAGGTGGATTCATGCAACCATTGATGTGGGATCGAGAAGGCAAACCAAACCGGATTGCTTTGCATGATCTAATCTAATCCTCGGGGTCCTCTAAGTCGATACGAAGACAATAGAATCTGGTGCTGGTGGTTTGTTTTATTAGTGTTGGGTTGATGTCGGCTCGTACGACGCTCGTGCTAAAATTATTAAACACCGGTTTGCTATATTCCCAGTGTTCGTTCGTATTTGACTGTCTGATGTGCTAATGCACGTCGTGGAGTCAACCCGGTTTGATGCTCGTGCAATTGCACTGCCGGTGTTGGCATAGCGCACTTGCTCATATGGGGGTGATTGGTGTAACCGACACCTATTACTAACATCATAATGTCATGTTCTAGCACTATGTGGATGATACTTTGATATCTCATGCTTGATAGCTTGACACTATATTGATCGATAACTCCACATGATACTCTAGCACTATGTTGATATCACGTGTAGCACCTAAGACATTATAAGTTATGTCTATGATTATTGCACGTTTTTCGTATTCGACGTAGCATAGTTGTTCCTCGACATTAAATTAATATACGTCTTCAAGTATAGATGTCCTAAAATCCCACTATGAACAAAAAGGTCTTATCACCATCAGTTTCGTTCCTCTACTCTTCATTGCACACAAGTTCTACCACGTTCGACTATAAACAAAACTAACTTAAGTATTGAAGGAGCTTTGTTGGTTATACCCTCGATATAATTTTGCAAGGTTTGACACTTTGTGAATCGAAAACATTCGACATTTTCTTGGCACCGTTCAAAGACAAACGTGAAATGAAATCTTAGTTGGCTGACATTTCGATCAAACAATCAAAATTTATATTAATGTATTGGAGCTAAGGGAAGGATCCTTTCGCGACATGACTTAAGGCAATCTTATATGTCATAATCGAACAATCATAACCAACATTTACGGTTACAAAATTAGAATTAGAGTCAATAAATATTGGTTTAATACTCAGGTTATAAACATGAAGAAAAACATATCTCCATCAATATATAAGACTCATCTACAGATAGTTAAAGTCATCATCAGCATGCATTTAATAGGAAGTAACCTATGATTTCACAAAGTCGTTAAGCGTTACTCGGACGTATGGATTCACCGAAAACATTATGCATTGCGTATGAAGCTTCGTTAGGAACACGTCATGTTAACCGAGTGCCTAAGATGGTGTTAAGCTGATGATGACTCTTTGGACGAGCTATCGCCCAAAAACAAGAAATTGAATATAAAATAAATAATAGTATTTGGTGTGGCATAAATGATGTCGTATCGATGATCACATCGATCGAATATAATATGATCGAAAATTGGCCCATCCTGAGTCCGGTTGAAATGGTCATCCTCACCCATACCGCACTGTCAAATTGGCCGAGAAGGACGACAACAAGAGTTCTATTTGTCGTAGGACTGTCTTCTTTCTCGCTTAGGTAGGGGTCACAGAATCCACCATGACGGTTTTGGGGGAATTAATTGTGATCTTTTAGTTCTATCACCTGCACAAAGTAACCATGATGTGCTTGCGAATCCATCCCATATCATTGCACCACTTCCCTTTATCATCTTCACCTCTCAAGAAAATAAGAAGAAGAGGAAGAAGGTTGGCTTTTCGAATATGCATGGGTTATTCTTTAGATGGTAGATAGACAGAGAAGTTGGCTCACGATGCATCATGCATGTCGGACAACAACAATATGGAGGCGAGGATTCTTTCTTATCTAAAAGAACAATGATATTTGCTTGTTATATCTACATGTACAAGAATCAAAAGATAAATTCATGCTAATCTTCATTAAATTAATTTGGTCTTTAGTTCCATTAAAAAAACAAAATCAATCAATATAAAAATAAGATTATGTATATTAATCCATGACAAATAACGTATTGATGTGAAGAATGTGGTCATGGAAAAGTACGCGAAAACTTTTCTTCGAGTTTGATACGATAGAGTGTACAACATAAATCGATCGTAGGCGTATGAAATCCACACACCACATTATTTTTAAATTCTAATTAAATATATTTATCTTAAATAAGAATCTTTAATCCTCGAGTTATTATGAAACGTGATATGATCAAAATATTTTTTTTTCCTTCAAAATAATTTGAGCATTTGGAATGGGAGGATGTCTCTCATCTTGAATAATAAATAATTAAAAAAGAAAAAAAAAAGGGAAAGAAAAATTTGTGTAAACATTTAATGGACCGTTCAATACGAGTCAAAAAAGAAAAAAAGGGTCTCAAATAAATGTGATGCCAACAAAAGCGAACACAATTGGCCCAAACAAACTTGTGAGGTGGGAAACTTCTACTGCGTCCGGAGGGGCCTTTCATGGCTGTTTCGTAAAGATAAGGATGATGGAGACTCAACAGAAGGCTCTCCGACCACCACACGGCGGCTGGGGAGAGACGGAGACGAAGCCACCCACGATCGTTACCGTAGTTCTCTCGTGCCGCCGCCGCCGCCGCCGCCATGAGAATCCATCCATCCATCATAATTGTACCATTACGACCGTACTTTAACTATATTTATAATTATATTATTTTATCAAATGGTAAATTCTTATTGGCTAATTTGAGTGGGCTCCACATCCATAGGCTCCCATCCGCCTACTATTAAAGCACACTCATTGCCATCCGATGAAGCAGGAGAAGGGCGGGCGAGCGAGCGAGAGGGAAAGGGGGAGAGGAGAGAGTTGTGGAGGTCCTTCGAGTTGGGCAATCACGGCTAGGTTTGGCGCACGCCGCTGCCCCCTCCAACCGCAGGTGGAGACCCTAAAGCTCGGCGCCGCCGCCGTGTTGGACAAGAACCGCACCCCCGCACCCCACGGTGGTCGAGGCGCCCTCCCCTCCGCCGGTGGTAGCCCCTCTGACCTCCTTTTCCTCGCCGGCGGCGGATCTCGCTGCTTCCTCCTTCTCCTCCTCCTCCACCACCACCTCTCCTTTTTTCTTGTTCTCGTTTGAGTAACCGCGAGAAACAAGGCGCCGAAAGATGCTGTCCATCAAGAGGGTTCCCACCGTGCTCTCCAACTACCAGGAGGAGAACGCCGGCGAGCCCCTCGGCTGCGGCCGTAGCTGCCTCGGCAAGTGCTGCTTGCCCGGTAAGGCGCCCCAAAACTCGCCTTGATTCCGTGGTTCCCCTTCAAGATCCGATGTTTTTGCCCCGCGGGTTTCTCGATTTGGTCCTCAAGATTTCTGTGTGATGATCGTGGGCAGCCTCGAAGCTTCCGGTTTATGCCTTCAAGAACGACCCAAGGCCGAAAGCTTCGTCCGTTGGGACGGACGAGCTGCCGCCTGACTTCTTCCTCAACACCCTGTTGCTCGGACAGGTATTTTCTCGGGGCGGAACCCTTCAAGATTCGATCTTTTTCTTCTTTACCGTTTGGTAGTGCAACGTGGCTGTGGTGTTCTTTCTAGTGGGAGGATCGGATGAACCGTGGGCTGTTCCGGTACGATGTCACTGCGTGCGAGACCAAGGTGATCCCCGGAGACCATGGCTTCATCGCGCAGCTGAACGAGGGTCGCCACCTCAAGAAACGTCCCACCGAGTTCCGTGTGGATCGCGTCCTCCAGGCTTTTGATCCTGCCAAGTTTAATTTCACCAAGGTGGGGCAGGAGGAGGTGCTCTTCCGCTTTGAGGCCGCTGGAGGCGATGAGGCTCACCTCTTTGAGAGCGATGGCAACGAAGGAACCAAATCTCCCAGCGTAGTTGCGATCAACGTGAGAGCAATTTTCGATACATCCCTCCTTTTCTTGATCAAGAACTATGTGATTGAAGTTTCTAATGGTTACAGGTTAGCCCTATTGAGTATGGCCATGTGCTGCTGATTCCCCGTGTGCTCGACTCATTGCCTCAGAGAATTGACCAGGAGAGCTTCTTGCTCGCCCTTCGTATGGCTTCTGAAGCAGGAAGCCCTTACTTCAGGCTCGGTTACAACAGTTTGGGTGCCTTTGCCACCATCAATCACCTGCACTTCCAGGTGAGCCCATTCAATTTGCTTGCTTGTGACTAAAGATTGGATTGCTGTGAGATGTCATGAACTTGTGGGATTGCTGATGGGAAATTTTCAATCGTATCATGTCAGGCTTATTACTTGTCTGTGCCCTTTCCGGTGGAGAAAGCTCCTACAGCAAAGATACCCACAAATCAGGGTCGATCCAAGAGCGGAGTGACGGTCTCACGCTTGCTGAACTATCCTGTGAGGGGTCTCGTCTATGAGGGAGGAAAACATTTGAAGGACCTGGCTGATATGGTTGCTAATTCATGCATTTGGCTTCAATCAAACAATATCCCTTTTAATGTGCTTATTTCTGACTCAGGCCGGAGGGTCTTCCTCTTTCCCCAGGTGAACATTCGTAATCTTAATATATGCTTTTTATCATAAAATGCTAGTCCTATTTATTAGATTAAAGTTATGAAATGACATCCATTTAACGATTCATGGAGCAACAACCATGGCTCTCATGTCAACTTCTGGACCTCATATGGTTTTATCTTGTTCGCATGTGATCTTGATGATGACCAAGAACACTTGAATCTCAAATGCTAAAATTAAAAGAAATTAACTTGTCTTAATATATATTCCTATTGTTGGTGTCCTTGGATATTAGTTCTCGCAGCTATTATTGTGGCTAAAAAGCTTCTCAAGATTGCTTGCGCTCCTTGGCTTAACATCAAAGTGAATGTTGCTAAAGAAGTTTATGAATTCAGTAATTGATGAGCATAGTTATGCTGAACCTTTGTTATGCAACAACATATACTTTTTTGCAAATAAACTGTAATGATAAAACAGTTGCACAAAGAAGTTTTTACTACAGCCAGTAGCAGCACAAATTCCAATGTCATTTATGCCGGAAATCCTTATTTTTTTTACTGGATAATTTGTAAACTCGACAACTTATGCTCTTGACTTGTTTCCTAGTTACATGCATTAAGGACAGTGAATCTGCAATACTTTCTACCCCATCAATCTAATCCCAGAGAGTAAAAATTAATAGTAATGGTGGTACAGACATTGGAACAAAATTGCAACCACAAAATGGTTTTATGCGTGTGAAATGAATGTTTGGATTGCATACTTGGTGAAGCTTGTGCTTTTAACTGACTTGTGTATGCGATGGGAGTAGATCTTTATAAGAACTAAAGGAAGCTCTTAACTATGCTAGGCACTGATACAGATGCTCTTGCTTTTAACTGACTTGTGTATGCGATGGGAGTAGATCTTTTATAAGAACTAAAGGAAGCTCTTAACTATGCT